TTTTCCTCCTTGAGTGAACTTTAGTAGTTTGTGTCTTTCAAGAATATTTTCCATTTTATTTTATCTGTAGGATTTATGGGCATACAGTTATTAATAGTATTTTCTTATTAGCCTTGTAATACCTGTATTTATCTTAATTATATGTAATTATAAATCTTACTATAATTTGGGATCTGTAATAGTTAACCCCTTTTTATTCCTGATACTGAGAGTTTATGTCTTATCTTTTTCTCAGTCAGCCTGTTAAGCTTTATTAATTTCATTGTTCTTTTAAAACAAACAGCTTTCAGTTTCATTGTTTTCTTTAACTATTTTCATTGATTTCTGATCTGTTATTTCCTTTCTTTTGCTTCCTTGAACTTTGTTTTTTTCTTTTTTTTCTCTCTCTCTCTTATTGAGTTTATTGGTACATTTTAGGTATACAGTACAATTACTTTCATCATTGGGATCTTTTCTTTTCTTTTCTTTTCTTTTTGGCACCGGGGATTGAACTCAGGTCCTTGCACTTGCAAGGCAGGCTACCGAACTGCTGAGCTAAATCCCGAGCCCTGGGATCTTGTACCTTTACATGAGAGGTCTTGGGCTTTCTTGAACTTTGATTTCTCATTATTTTTCTATTTTAAGGTGGATGTTTATAATATTGATTTGAGTTTTTTCTAAAATGAGCACTTTTAATACTGGATATTTTTAGCTGTATACCACAAATTTTAATATATTTTATTTTCATATTCTTTCAGTACAAAATATTTTTTATTTCTCTTGTGACCAGCTATGACATGTATTATTTAGAAATATGTTGTATAATTTTCAGATCTAGAGGAGTTTTCCCAATTTTCCTGTCTACTGTCTTCTGGGTTAATCTTATTGTCAGAGAATGTGTACTTTGTGTGGTTTCCATTCTTTCAAATTTTGCCTGAGCTTATTTTATGAGCCAGAATATAAACCGTCTTGGTGATTATTCTTTGTACATTTTTAAAAAGTAAGTTTTTGTTTTTTCTTTAATGTTATGTGGAACGTTCTATAGATATCAGTTTGATTTAATTGGTTGTAGTGTTGCTCAGGCATTTGCTATTTTTTAATGTACTTGTTCTATCAGTGATCGAGAAAGGTGTATTAAAGTCTTTATATATAATTGTGTATTTACCTATTTTCAGTTATTTTCATTTTTGTTTCAGGCATTTCAGATCTTATTGAGTGTGGCATAGTCTGTTTTTTTTTTTTTATTGGAGAACTTATTGCATAATGTGTCATTTTTCTGATAGTGTTTTCATGGTATATATTCTTCATCTTTTTAAATCAGCTATTATATTTATAATGGATTTCTTTATATAGCGTAGAATTTGTTCTTGGTTTTTAATCTGATTTGACTATCTCTTATAATTGTTATGTTTAGGCATTTATATTTTATGAAATTATTGATATTATTGAATTAAAATCTCTTATCTAATTTTGTGTTTTCTGTTTATTCCCTCTTCTGTCTTTATTACCTTCTTTTGGATTGAGTCATTTTAATTATTTTAATTTAATATCTATTTCACTTCTGTTTATATTTTTTTGTTTGTATTTAACTTTTTGTTTGTATCTTCTTTTTTTCCTTTTTGGTAGTATCACCGTAAATATTCTTACACTTCAACAGTCTACTTCATTATTATTTTGCCAAGTAGGATGTTGAGTCTTAACAACTTTTGCTCTCTTCCTTTTATAATTGTTATGTCTATTACATGTCCATGCTTCAGTACAAAGACAATATTATAGCCTTTTTACTGAGATATTTATAATTTATTTTGCTCCTCCCATATTCCTGAAGTTTTAAGTTTCCTTCTGATACTCTCTTTGAAGAACTTCTCTTAGCATTTCTACTAGGACAGGTATTTCAGCAACAAGTACTGTGTTTTTCCTAATCCAAGAACGAATGTATTTTGCCATCATTCCTGAGTGGTATTTTTGCTAGTTGTAGAGTTCTCGGTTGGCACATCAGTTTCTCTTAGTTATTATTTCATTGTATTCTGTACTGTTAAGTTCCATTGAGAAATCTGTAATAAAATTGGATTGTAGTTCCATGTGGCATTTTGTTTTTCTGTATTTTCAAGATGTTTTTCATTATCTTTGCTTTTCAGCAACTTGATTACAGTATGTTCAGGCATGAGTTTGGTTTGTTTGTTTATTTATTTTTTTGTTTTAGTTTACCCTTCCTAGGGTCTACTAATCCTCCTGGATCTATAAATTAATATCATTTTCCAAACTTGAGAAGTTACTAATTGTTGTTTACCCCATATGTTTCTATTTCTCATCTTTTAGGAATCCAGTGACACATCAAAAATGTTAAACTTTTGATATTTTCCTGCTTGTCTTTAAGGCTCTGTTCAATGTTGTCTAGTTGTTTTTCTCTTTTCTTCAAATTAGATCGTTTTTATCTTCAGGTTCACTGATTTTTCCTTTGTCATCTTCATTCTGCTGTTGAAACCATTTAATGAGATTTTTATTTCACACACTTTTTTCACTTCTATAATTTCTGTTCTTTTTTATAGTTTGTATTTCTTTTTTTTAAGAACTGCCTTTATATTTTTAAATGGTATTTATCTTTATCTTATAGAACATAGTTTAATAGCTGCCTGTTGACTTTCCCCTTGAGAAGTGGTCATATTTTTCTGTTTCTTTTTAAGCTAATTAATATTAGATCCTGGATATTTTGCAAATTGCATTGTGGGAGTCTGGTTTCTATTAAAATCCTCTGGAGATTTTTTAAAAATTTAAATCAATCAACCAGAGTAGATTCAGATCATAATTTTTTTCACCATCTTTGGGTGACAGTTCCAATAAGTAGTTTTCAAAGTCTTCTTGACTATATTGCTTTGGTCCTGTCAGAACCATGTGAGATGTGACCAGCCCTTGAGATTCCTCTGACTCTCTGTCTCCAAGTTGGGGGTTGCCTTTTCCCAGGATCTTTACCAGCTAAATGAATTTTTTCACAACTTTTTGCTGTGGGTACCACTTACAGTTACCTGAATGGGCTTAGAGTAGTCTTATGTCATAGCCACAAGCAAGTGGGTGGGGCGGGTAGTAGCAAATGATACTGGTATGGGTTACTTTTTCATGTTGTGTTTCCCCTCTCCTGCTTTCTGTTGTTTACTTCTCAGAGTCCTCAGGTTATTGTTGCTTTTTGAATTTTTGTCTGCAATTTTTGCTTGTAATGATTGGTAGATACAGTCTATGGTGGTCTTGCTTCATCTTAATTGAGCATGGTTAGTTTTTTGTCAGCATTTTAAAATACAGAAATGTAGCAGGGACGAGGGAAAAAAATGAGAACCAAGACCACCTGTCATGTAAAGGTACAAGATCTCAATAACGAATGTAACTGTACTATATACCTAAAATGTACCAGTAAACTCAATAAAAGAAAAAACTTTTTAAAATAAATAAAATATAGAAATGTATATTGTTAATCTTTGGCTTAGATAGTTTGTGACCACTTTTAGTTTATGCTGGTAAAATGTATTTGATATTTAAATATCAGACGCTTTGTGAAAGAATGTAAAACATCTCATGGAGTTTTACAACAAAGTGATCATTCCTATTTTTATTATTCACGTGGGTAACACAGCTGATGAAAACACACAGATTTACATTTACCATTTCAAAGAAAAAATATTGTGGCTTTATTGGTATCATTATTAATTATAACTTGGACTTTAAAATTTCTGAAATATTTGTTTGAATTAATTCTTTGAAGAATGTAGAAAAGAAAAATAAATTTATCAATGTCCAAATTATATTATTCCTTTTCAATTCATTATTGCTTTTCCTTTGAAAAAGTAAAATTTTGATTAATACTTATGCATAGTAAGACCTACATGCAGTGATTTTATTATGAAAAATATTAGTTCTTAGTTAAGTTGCTTAGTGAAGAATAAGTTTTTTGTTTAAGTTAATTGTTTTCTTCTCTCTCTCTCTCTTTTTTTTTTTCTTCTGTTTTGAGATAAGGTCTCACTTTGTAGTTCAAGCTGGCTTAAAGCTCACTATATAACACAGGTAGGCCTTGAATTCAAAGCAGTCCTGCTGCTTCAGCCTAGGATTACAGGTGTGTACCACCATTACTGGTGTGTGGATTTTATTTTTAAAAGATCTATTTTACTGACTTTCTTTTTACCCAAAACTATTTGTATTCCATTGATATACACAGACATCTATGGATACTAATTCATAAGCATAATAAAGTTAAAATTTTTGTGAGGAGACTAAAAAGGTATTTTTTCCACATTGCCCTTATTATTTTACAGTAAAAATAAACAATTTTAGGAAATGAAAACAATTTCTATGCAGAACTATTTGGAATGATATATTACAGCATCAATGTATAGACTTTGTAGATTCAACCTTAGTGTTCTACGTTTTATTAATGTTTTTGTCTAAAATATCTGTGTTATATTTACCTTTGCTAGATATAATACAGTTTAGCTCATGGTTTGGGGAGGTTTAGTCCTTAGTCATCTGGTTCCAACACAGAAACATCCTGGCAGAAGGGGCTTAATGGAGCACTCTGGAGTAGGTTCTAATCTGTTAAGCTTTTTTTTTGTGGCGGTGGGTGGGGAGCTTTTTGAGACAAAGTCTCACTGTAGTTCTGGCTAGCCAGGAATTGACTATGTAGCCCAGGCTAACCTCAAACTTTCTGTGATCTTCTTCAGCCTCTTAAATGCTGGAATTATAGGCTTGCACCACCATACCCAGCTTGTTAGGCCTTTCTTAATCCTTTAAAGTTGACATCATTGATGGTCATAGTGTTATACAAGTAGGAATGTGATTACAATTAACATTTGTGAAATATATTTCATCTTTATGTATAATAGTACATGGGCTTTTATTCCATCCAATTCAGGCTCTGTTGTCCTCCCATTAAATTCTGTATTACATTTATGATTTCCATTGAGAGAATTGAGTTATAAAAATGTCAGAGTAGTTTGTGTTTAGCTGTTTTTCTAATTTTTGAAAATTTCTTTCTATAGGTGCTCTGTGGATGTGTATAGTTCTAAACCCCCACTGCAAGTTAGAACAGAAAGCCAGCTGGCTAAAGCAGCTGAAAAAGTGGAACAGTGTTGATGTCTGTCCATGGGAAGATGGAAATCATGGCAGTGAATTACCCAACTTAACCAATGCTCTGCCTCAGGGTGCAAATGCCAACCAAGGTGAGTCCACAGTAATGTTCCACTCAGCTTGTTTGAACTTCATCCTGCATGTGTTTATGATGGTAACTTAAAATAATGTATGGGAAAATGATTTTATCCACTTTTCTTTTTTGGTACTGGGGATTGAACTAAGGTCCTTGCGCTTGCGAGACAGGCCACCGAACCGCTGAGCTAAATCCCCGGCCTGATTTTATCCACTTTAAAACCTACTGTAACTCAAGGACTTAATATGTTTTGACTGTGAATGTGTGTATGTATTTTAATTCTACCTGAGGCCTTTGCATTCTTTTAAAAATATTTTCAGAGTATAGATAGATATACTCCTAACACATTAGTCAGTATGAGTTAAAATGGTCCATTAATGATACTTTGAATTTTAATTTAAAGAATTAGAAAGTAGGGTGGCAGTATATTACTTTGTTAAGGAAAAAAACAAGCTTGTGGAGCTATGAGTTTATATCTGTTGGCTTATATTTGGAACCCTGTGATTAAAAATTCTTAGATTTAGAAATCAGGAAAGAAAATTTTAATTGCTGGACTGAGGGGCATGGTATGCTCTTGGCATTTGGACTGGGAAAATTCTTCATTGGAAAGAATTTTCTAGAATACTTTTTCTCACCTCCATACATTAGGTCTATCATGGCCTTCAACTTCAGGGACAATGAAAAAAGACTCTCAGACATTCCCCAAAGAACTTCTTTCTCTCACTTCTATCCTGTGTTTTCAGCTTCTCCCTCTGTTGGATTCATCTGTTCTGCTTGTCCCTTCCATCTTTAAACAATTCTTCCTTATCCTTGCTTTACTTTTCTAGCTTTTTCTGCTGTTTCAGAACTAAATTCTTAATTTACATTCACTAATTCACACCACAATATTTGCATAATTTTGTGCCCTTCCCCTTTTTGAGAAAATTTGAAAGACTTTAAAGTCATGTTAGAAGCAAAGTGGGAATTCAGTGACATTAAAAGAATACGAAAAGAAGACTATCATTTTCTGTGTGGCCACCTAAGGAGTTGGCATTGTGCTGAGTTTGAATGCGATGTTAGCACAGTGTCTTCAGTCTGTACAGAGAAAGAAAATGATATGTATTACTCCACAGGGACTTGTCCAATCAAAAAGAAGTTTTGGAACTTGGGAAAGATGACTGGCTCTGCTTTCCATAGAGATATATGCCTTGAGAATTCAGGGATAGATTTATATCTGTCTTGTCTTTATTGCTAAGTAAATGAGCTCCTCCCACCCACAACTTTTTTCCAGATGCTCAGAATTTTCTAGTTTATCCACTGGACATTTATTCTCTTCATTGCTAGAAAAAGTATACTGACATCTGTATAGGCAAGCATTAATTCCCTTCTATTTTTATACTTGGAGGCCTCCGTATTTCACTTCCCATTGCTTTTTTTGGGACTGACACTATAATATTTTATCATACTCTTTTTGCTGTTCATTTATTATGTTAAACATGAATATTTTATAGGCCTTAGAAAGTTGGTAAGAAGTGATCCAGCTTCTAGACACCACAGTTCATTTCACTTGTGATTTGGCCCAGGCAGATTCCAAAGGCAGTATGTATAACTCTTATGCCTAAAGGCAGTAGTAAACCTATTTTTTTATTTATTTGTTTATTTATTTACTTTGGTATCGGGGATCGAACCTGGGACCTTGCACTTGGAAGGTGGGCAGCGGCACCACTGAGCTAAATCCCTGGTCCAGGAAACCTACTTTTAGCAGAATATCCATACCCTCTTTGAGGTCTGTCACAGGGGGTCCAATGCTCCTTCCAATTCTTCCCCTATAGTACTGTCTTTTCCAGGGCAGAGTCGTCATGGCCAGCAGAATCCAGCAGTGTGCCCTTATAACTGAACCATAGTGCATGTGGCCTAGGCCATAGGCAGGATTTCATGTGTTTGCACATAGAAGGAGCCTGAAGGGCTAGTGAGGCCATGCCACCGCTGAGGTAATATTTTTAGAATTCATGAATAATCCATTAGCATCTACAAACCATGAAAGAGTACTTTCTTGAAACACCAAATAAGCCAATTTTTAATTATTTTTTAAAAACTAAGAGCTTCCTCCTTTTCTCTAAAATTCTCATTTAATTTTACATATACTTTATTTAAAATTTTTTATAAACTTTTAAATATATCATTCAAAAAATTGGGTCAAGACAGTCGGTATTTTTCTTATTTTTTGTCTTATTACAAATATCACAGAAATCCAAGATAAAGACTGACTATAATTTTTATACCTTATCAAATTAGATTTTCAACTGTACATCTTTTTTATCATTTTTTATGTGTATAATCAAATTTTTTTCTGTGTTTCCTAGACAATGATAGGACATTATAGCCTTCGTTTTCCATTACATATCATTTCATGAGAATTTAGCTTTGGGATTTGTTGTTTGTTATCATTTTGCTTTTCGTTGTTGCCATTAGTTTTATTGTTGTTGTAGAGCTAACTAATGTTAAAAGCCAGGTATGTGTCCTCTACATCTTACCCTGTTCCCACATTCATCCATAAACATGTAAACAGTTGTTTTTTATTTTTATTTTTTAATGAAATCAGATCTACAGCTTGATTTTATTAATAGTACCACAGTGAGCCAAGTCGACTGGTAGACCCCCACTTCATTGTTTTTTTGTGGGTTTTTTTTTTTTTTTTTTTTTTTTTTTTTTTTTTTTTTG